GCCGAATAATTAATCAATATACGTATTATGGTATTTAGTAAAGTATATGGTTGTTACAAGTTTTATGGACACAACGAGGAGATGAATGCCTTACAACACGTTCGTATGATGGAACAATACCTCATAATGAATTAAAGCGTGTCATTTAGCGAAAAGATATTGATTAATGCGACATTATACTGTGGTGATATTTTAGTTGATCGTGTGATCTTATTTCACTGCTACGTTACTGGACGTTTTTTTTTAAATGCCCTACTCTAGAAGTATGTATTTTCGTATGCGTTAATGCATGCCCTAATTTACACATTTTTAACTGAATGCTTTAATGCATGGCCTATTCTACCAGTCTTTAAATACGTTTATGCATACCATATTTTACTCATTTGTACTGGATGCTTTAATGCATTCCCTTTTCTACAAGTGTTTTAATGCGTTGATACTTTTATGTCTACCCTATTCTACAAGTTTTTTAATGCGTTAATACTTTTATGTATGCCCTATTCTAAAAGGGTTATAATGCGTTAATAACGAGGATGGTTACATGCTTAACTGGGTGTTTTTTGAATGCCCTACTCTACCTGTAGCTGTATGTGCAATTTAGCAAGTGTTATTTACTATTTGTGAAACGATCAAGCACAGTTACGATATTTTCCTTTCCTTTAATTCTGCAGTAAACTTTCATTTAGTGTTGGTCTGTTAATATTTTTCCTTGTTTCCCTCCTTCAAATAAGATTACTTTCGTCTTATACAAACGCTTTATATCAGTATACATAGTTTTGAACTATTCGAATATAATCTGATATATTTCATAATTTTCTTATGACAATAGATACATATTTGAAACGACCACTCTAAGCTGGATATCGCGTTTCATTGTTTCTTATCAGAGATACTGTCGATTCCATGAATTACTAACTCCGGACAACGTCATTGCCGTTCGATTATTTGATACAGAATATTATTGTAACCTTATACTGTCGGCTATAAAGTAACACACTAAATGAACATTATATAGCATATAACATTATGGGCGGATTGGTCGAGTGGTTAACACTTCGGCCTTCCACGCAGGCGGCCGAGGTTCGATCCCCGAAGTCGTCGCACGCATGGAATATTCAGAGAAAGCGTTTTCCTCCTGCCCACACAACTCCAACTACCCAGGTGGAGTATAAAACGGTCTGGGTGGATGTTGAGGTACCTGTGCTGTAGCGTTCAAGTGAGGTGGCACTATAAATAATACTGTTGGAAGCACGGTCCCACTACAAACAGAACACATTACATCTCCAGCACACATGCAGGTATACACGCATAGGGATATATTAGCCAGGTGGCATAGGACTAGTTGTTAGCGCTTGATAAGGCAGCTCTTGCGAATTTCTCAAAAATTGTATTAATTAATGTATATGCTAATTGTATTAATTGTATATCTATGTACTCTTAAGCGCTTTAAAGTGGCTTATGTTAGCTAGATAGGGAGCTATATCAAATGGTGTATATTGAAGTAAGTAGCTTAACGAACATTATAATCAAGTTACGAGCTTCAAGAACATTATAATATAGACTACGAGCTTAATTAGTTGTTATACAAGCTACGAAATTATCACTTCAAGCTACGAACACATAATACACCTTACAATTCATGGTACGAGCTTAATGAACATTGTTATAACGCTACGAACTTAATTAACATTATAATCAAGCTACGTGCTTAATGAATATTGTTATACAAGCTACGAGCTTTATGAATATTGTTATACAAGTTACGAGCTTTATGAATATTGTTATACAAGTTACCAACTTAATTAACATTATAATACAAGCTACGTGCTTAATGAATATTGTTATACAAGCTACGAGCTTTATGAATATTGTTATACAAACTACGAGCTTTATGAATATTGTTATACAAGTTACGAGCTTTATGAACATTGTTATACAAGCTACGAGCTTAATGAACACTATTATCCAAGCTACATGTACGGCGTTATCATTGTTGTATCACAATCTACGAGCATAATGAATCCTTAACGTACAAAACAAGCGGCGAGCTCATGAACATTATAGTATAGGCTTCTATCATTGTCTTTTGTAATTATTTCATTATCAATAGATTTGATTATTTCAGTTCTTCGTGTTATGCATGAAAACAAAGAACATAAATATCGAACCTTTAATATAAATATTATATTTCTTTGTCAATATACAGGATTGATCTTACATTAATGTCATTCCTTTCGTGCAACGCTCATAAAACTAAAAGCAAACTGACACTCGTTGATAACACGCATTACATTTCATATAGCTTTCGACAGTTTTTATGCTTTTATAGACGTCCTAGTAACACATATGATAACCAACCACATGTCAATATCCCTATTTGATATACTGTCATTGTTATATCCCCTTCATTCGCCGAACGTGATATATCAACCTAACAGTGATGACTACATTGTATCGATCGTTTTCTCTTCTAGGTAAAAACATGTGTTAAATAAAATGAATACAGATTTATCTTAACTTTGGCCTACGTGTTCAAAATGTGATTAGCTTAATCATTGTTTCACGGCATTTTCTCAACCTCTAATTATTCCATGAATGTACTTAACTACGCAAAAACGTCTATTTTCGCATGTTACTTATTTTAGCATTACATTTACTGTCTGTACATTTTTAAATCAAGTAATGGTTGTATTTTTAAAATACATCAAAAAAGGAAAATTTGCACTAATCGCTGTGCAATGTTTTTAATAACCGGACCAAAGTAATTTAGTTTACAACATTGTATTTATAAATTCGAATTATTAATAAATATAAATAAAAAATATATCTTTACAAACTCACTGATGGCCAACTTATATATGGATTGATTATCAATTGTTTAACTACTATATATTATAGTTTTGGACAAATCACTCCACATTGATAAATCGCAGTGTCAAGTTAAAGTTTAAACACGTAAATAATTGTAAGAACTTGAAGAATGATACAATGTACAAATCTTAAAATAATTAAACCCTTTCTACCAATAAAGTGTGTTGTTTGGTTACCATGTTTATCAACTTAGTGTTCGAACCCAGTTTCAACGTGTATGTGCACTGACGAGAGATCGATATATACCAACAATCATGAGCTGAATAATGTTTATAAGTTTTGGCCAAGAAGAAATCTTTGCGAATGATAACGTCACAATGTTAAATAAAATAATTTTCCCCCTCAATTTTTTTTTTTGTGAATGCTTGCTGTGTGTTTAAATGAACTGTTTGCTTTCGTGCTATTATACACTAAAGTTTTAATTTAATTTGTACCCGAGTCGAAAATGCTAACCGTGCATAATTATCAGAATATATTATTCACAAATAAGTAGTCGTTCAAAGCAGTAAGGGACACAACGCCTCTTTACTTCCGTACACGACGCTTTTAAAGAGATCAGTGTTAAGCAATGAACATCGTCTTCATCAAAAGAAGATGTGACCTCCTAAATGTATGTTGTATCATTGATAACAAATAAACAAGAATAACTTCTTGGAAATATGAATTCGTTGATGAAGATAACATCCGAAATCAACGAAATTAAAAACCTCACGAAAATAAGTGATTTCATAGTAATAAAATATTCGTTCTCATCACAAACATTCATAACACACGAATGGCAAACGATAGTATATATAGCATCACACGGCTGCTACTTTGTAAGAATTACACATGTATTTGGTTAAGGTCAAGTATGTTTTATTTTTAGAATCATCATCTATCGCAAATATTTATATATGGTTTACTAGGTGTGGTCAGGCGGCTGTTTTCTGTTGATCAAGGTATGTTTTCAAGTTAGTATTGCATTAGCAAAAACAAAGACGTGCAAAATGTTACGCGTTTCTTAAAAAAGGACAGTGAGATTTCGGGTTTCGTGCAGTCCTGTATACCCACTGATTTCCCGCTGTACTGGAAGAGCACAATGGAAGGGTTAAATTACGCTATTCATCATGAATAAACGTCCGTTATACCCGGATCTTGAAAACTACATTTGTATACGATGAGGCCATATATTGTAAATATGTGTATGGAAGGCGTTTATATATTACCGTTACAGTGTACATACAACTCAAGAACTAGGATATTTCGGGATAAAAGTGTCAGCAAGCAATATCAATTAAGATCACTAATAAGGTCATCACGCATCAATGGTAACTTCTTTTCCAGATATACAAGTGACTTTTCATTGTATTCGGTGTGATCATATTTCAATGTGAACAGATAGAATAGCAACTGACCTGGTTTATACAATAGCGATACATACTCTACCAGGTGTTTTATTATGTATACTATTTAATATCAGAGTTCAGTAATTGTGTCAATTTAAATTACATCAACAAATGCTTAATCTTTGCGGTGAAAAATGTATATGGATGACTTTTTGTATATATTTATATATATATAATTCACACAACTAATGATCACGAGGAAGATGTGCGCAGAGTAAGATTGCCCATAAACGTCTTTTAGTTCGCACTGAGCGGGAAGTCTCCTCAAGTTGGCTCTGACTGTGGTACGAGGCCGTTCTCGGAAAAACATCCAAGGGTGAATACCAATACCATGATTGGCTTTGTTTCTTCTGTACGAAACACACTGCCTTGCTATCCAACACGTATCCTTTAATTTCATTGAAATAGTTTCAGCGGGTCAAATGTAATGGTCTGGACAAAAATTCACATATGACCTCTATGTAACCATGACCTTCTACGTACGGACGTCCTTAAATGACCTTAGCTGTTGATAGGACGTTAAACCAAAACAAAACCAAACCCTAGAGTGGTATGCTACATACTGCCTTGCCATCCTTCATGTAAGATTTCAGAGCTTTCTTCAGCGAGTCAGAAGTTATAGCTCGCAAAAACAGCTGGATGGACGAACAGACGGATATACAAAAGGATAACTTCTTATATTCTCGCCAAATTTCTTTTATGGAGTATAAAGAAAACAACAAATTGGTAACAAATGAAATATTTTTTATTCAAAACAGCTTTATAATCTAGATATAGTTTCCAAATGAATGAGAACAACTCTGGTACTTTTCTGATTGACCTCAAGACTTAAAATAAAATCCTTTCCAACAACGGAATATTTAATTTGATCATATTATAAAGCAAATCATTTAACCAATTTATCGGACACAAGTTTTATCAACGTGTCAAAATATGTTAAGCTAGATGGTACCACTGCATCATTATAATCGCAAAGAAGAATTCAACTTTAAGTTCTTTTAACTCGGAGTATCGCACTTCTTTATAGAAATGAAACAACCTTTACATAAAAATTCTACAATCGAAGTTGTACCCTACAAAATCACCTTGCATTAAAGTGCAGGTACCGACTATATACAGATGAACATTTTATTTGCCATTCTCTTTATCAATGAATGTCTATGAAAAAAAATGAAAAAAAAGAGATTTTTTTGGATAAATATATTAAAGGGATGAATTAAAGACGTTCTACAACACCTTTTTTATCAAGTCGTCTAGGCTAGGCAAATTTGTACAAAGGAATTTCGCAATATTTTATTTTCATTTCACAAAAACGTCTTTGGAATAAAAACAAACAGACTTTATTTGACATACACAACAAAATGAAAAAAACCACACATCTACTTTTTAATCAGGAAACATTCTCAAATCATAATATTAAGGAAACCGGCCTTGCTTTTAGCCCCAAAAGGGACATATACAGTAAACTATCTATAATAGTTCTGGTAGTTATTTATATTTACCTTATTTTTTCTGACAAATTTTACTTTAAAATTTTATTTTTAATGTAACTGCATGTGTATTAAAGAAATCAGATTATTTTCCACATTTAAAACCACTTGATGAACACCGTTTCATATATCTGAAAATTATGCTTTATGTTTAGTTTTGAAATGTTTGAGAATGAATGTGCAATTCTTTTTGTAATGTTCTCCTATCCCATTTGGAGCCTCAAAAGCACTCGGTCAAGCATTCGCAATAGCTATAAAAAATACCTTCTACATCCATTATGAGAACATCCAGAAATCCAAGTAACTGTAAGTAAGCTTTATTGCCATGAAGTTTGAATGTAATTGAAATAACCTTAGATACTGCAGATACTGTATGAAAAGTTCGTTGTGTTTAAACATTTGTGGTTTTCGTGGTTACTATTAATTCACGAAAATAAATACAACAAATTTGAATGATATACATGTTTACTATTTGTTTACATAGGATATTCACGAAAGTTATTACCACGAAACGATCTAAATGGCTTCAAACCACGAAGGAAAGTACCCACGAACATTTCGTGTTATACAGTATCCAATGAGGAAGCATAGAATTGTGGTAGTGAAATCTATACCACAGGATACAAAAATCAACAAAATGATCAGATAAATGTAATACATCGATTTCCTTTGAAGTTAAATGTTTGCAACGTCCAGCATATTCTTATTTAAACCAAACTTCACTGATGATACCCTATAACTTTATTTCGACATTGACGCTCTCCTTCTTTTGTTGTAACTAATGTTTTTGGAAGCTGTTGTCTTCAGGATTATACTGATGTCTGCCTTGTCAAAATTCACATTCAACAACCATTCTTTCACCTGTAAGAAGACAAATAAAATGTAAAGACAATCGTTAATGCTTCAGACTAAACTTTATCAGCCATAAGAAAACATTCACGTTTAAGACTAAACTTTATCAGCCATAAGAAAACATTCACCTTTAACCCTTTCACCACAGTGGAGTCACCCATATTAATGCATGGAAGGGTCTACTAAAGTTACATAGGGGTGAAAGGGTTAAAATTAACCTAACGAAAGTAAAATTAACTGACAACAGTATGCTTGAATTAGTATATTTCAGCTGGACTCTAATTGACGCAAAACAAGAGGCACAAGGTGACTCAATGCTCCAAATAGATTTATGGCCTAATTAAACAGCAAAAAAGACCTGAGGCACTACTACTATGACACTTAAATAAAATGTTGACATCATTCTGATCATACTAAAAGATCAAAACAGACTTTCAAGATGACTGCCCTGATGGTCGTTTTGAATTTCATTGGCCTCACAAAAAGACAAGTTTTGGTCAGGACTATGCACTTACATTCCCATCAAGTTTCGTCAAAATTGAATCTGCATTTGAATTCAAAACAGATTTTGCAAATTGTAGCTGGTGTGGCCATACTGGATTTCAAATCAGTTCCAAAATAATAACAAGAACCATATGGCAATCGTTCTCACCAAGTTTCCGTGAAACCAGATGATTAGAATTTTAGCTTTAATTTCAAACAGATTTTCAATTTATCCTGGCACGATTTTTTGCTTGCAAATCATTGCGAAATAACAAGAATTGGTCTGGAGCATGCACTTATCATTACAACTATTATTTGGTAAAATTGGTTCTGTAAAATTTGAATTTAAATTCAAAATAACTTTTCAGTGATTGCCATGGTGTCCATATTGAATTACAAATCGGCTTGAAATAACAAGAAATTGTCAGGACCACGATCATCCTCTTTATGTTTGGGCGATTTTTTCATTTTATTTTTTAAATTCCAATTAGATTTACAAAATGGCTGTCATGGCACCATTATTGGATTTCAACACAGATCAAAAATGAAGATAATTAGTCAGGACCTTTCTTTACAAGTTTCTGCAGGAACATGGATCAGTAGATACGACTGCCACAATATAATGGGAAAACTTGGCATATCCTATCATACTGCAATACAGAAATGTTATATCACTAAAAAGGCAAATACCAGTTACCATCATTTTTGAGCAAAATTAGACAAGATGAACAAAACTTTTGATACGAAAGATCTCAGCAAATCAAAAGCAATGGCAGTCATCTTGTTTTATAGAATTTTGGTTAACAGGTTATCATTTACGCCATCATGTTCAATATCTACCAAGTACTATTTATGACCTGTTATGAAAAGCACCATATCAATTCAACAAAAGTAATAGCCATATTTGTGTCAGCCAATCAGACACAAAAGATGAGACTTGAGTAAGTAGCATACGAAGCAAGTTCAATAAAGTATTGTGCGGAAAGCAATCAACCAATCAGAATACAGAAGCTTCATCTAATTTGCTAGAAATGACGAACATCAAACCTAAGTTAGAATCTAAGATAATAAGTATAGCAAACAACTTTAATCAATCTTACCATTCCATCATCAAATATTGTATGGAACGCCATCAAACAATCAAAGTACAGCAGACCCATTTACTATGACAAACATGAAACCCCAGTGATAATCTGGGATAATAGTATATAAAGCAAATTCGTTCAAAATACGCTGATCACTTTAGAGGATATCATGCAGATATATTAAGCAGCCTATAAGAATAAAGAAGCCTCATTTAATATGCCGATTATCGAACCTTGGAGAGGGACTCGATTAAATATTAGTGTTACATCAGCCAGGTTGATCAAAATTCAATCATTCTGTCATAAGATATTGTATGGAAAACATTCAACAAATCGGAATGCAGCAGACTAAGTGAGAAACTTAGATAATTAGTATAGCAAGCAAGTTTGATCATAATTTGGTAGATTCTTTCAAGAAATGTCACGCAGATAACAATCAGGCAATCGAAGAACAGCATCATCATTAAATCTGACCTTTCTTTCACAAGGCATCATGCCGAAAGCAAAACAAAACGGACAGGTAGACAGACGGACGAACCAGCAATTTGCTGTAGAGCACTGCATCTTCGAGGCCCTAGTCAAAGATTGAACATTAATGAAAACAGACGTTTTGGTTTCAGCAAGAATGGAAAGGCTATATTATTTGCATGAAGTTTTGTATCATGATATGATATTCAACATTTGAGGACATGCCATACATGACGGACATGCAACTGGTTTGATGTTTAGATACTTACCGAGTTCAATGTCCACCTTTACATCCTTACGTATATAAATAAAAAAACTGTTTACATGCTCTTTGAGATTCAATATACTCACTTTTGATTTCAGCCTAGTTAAGTTGTCTCCTTTTATAGAAGTAATACCAAGTTCGTCAATACATCTCCTTACAATGCACTGTAAAACAGATAAAAGCACTGATGCTATAAAAGATTGACGTTTAAAAATAAATATTTTTTCAAATTATAATCATTAAGCATCAAAAAATGTGTATGTGTCGATATTCATATAAGACTGTCTCATCACAGATCTACAATAAACGCACATATTTAAATGGCAGTCTTATTTTAGTGCTTTCTGCAATTTTGATATAAACAGGAGATCCTAGAGGGATCTAGTTATAGGCACCCACTCATCATAATATAATTTAGTAATAAAGTAAAACAAGGCTAAATATTGCAAGACAATTCATAGTCCCCAACCGGTAATAATTGATATGTTTAACAAACACTACACTTATGTCAAACTTTTTCAAAAGTAAAGGTCAAAGGTTATGGCATAAGTCACAGTGACCGAATTCTTGCACTCTGCATTCTGCCATCCCAAGATGTCCTTGTACACTAAATATGGATATTCCAGGTGAAATAGTATAGAAGAAACGCACAAGACAAACATTTTCAAAAGTAACGACCAAATGTCAAGTCATACGTCAAAGTGACCTAACTCTTGCACTCTTCACTCCGTCATCCGAGGATGACCTTGTACAACAAATCTGATTACTCCATGTGAAATAGTACAGAAGATATGCCCCAGACAAACTATTCAAAAGTTAAGGTCAAAGGTCAAATCATAGGTCCAAGTGACTTAATCTTGAACTTTGCACTCCGCCATCCCACTCCGCCATCCCAAGATGTCATTGTAAACCAAATATGGTTACTCCAGGTGAAATAGTAAAGAAGATATGACCCGGACAAACATTTTCAAAGGTACATGCATAGGTCACAGTGAGGTTAAAGTGACCTTCTTCTTGCACTCTGCACTCAGCCACTCCAAAGATGTCCTTGTACACCAAATCTGATTTCTCCATGTGAAATAGTAAAGAAAGTATGTCCCGGTGAAACTTCTCGGGCGGACGGAAGGACGGAGTGCAAACCTATATTCCCTTCAGAAACCGATGGAGGACTAATTAAAGGGGCATCACGGTGAAGTAACTTTATTTTTTGTCTTTTTTTCAAATGCTACATAAACATATCAAGTGAGACTCCTTATGGAAAATAACGATCGGATTTGGCTGAAATAGATTCATAAAAATGATTATATCTAAGAAAATCATCGGTATTTCTACCTGTCTGACCAACGTTTTGTTCAGGGATTTCCCTCTACTAGCGCATGCGCATAGCACACCATTTCTTTGTAAACAAAATGACTGGCCGTGTGAAGCAGGCGAAAGAAAGGTGTTGTACCGTGTCAGCTACCAAACGAAAAGTTGCCGAATGGTCAAAAGATAGCGCAAGGAGTACTTTACGGAATCATTATTGCAGGTGGGCAGTATTCAAAGGAGAAAATAACTGCCGTAGCAGTTAGTACGGTGCATGTATTCTTTCGGTTAAGCTGAAATGGAATCGACAGAAATGCTAGCGCTGTTTATGATATGAATAAATATCTAAAACTATTAAGCTCGCTAGTATCTTTGTCTGAGTTTGAACACAGATGAACTTAAGTTTAATATGTTAATGGGCATGTATTGGAGAGAGTTTACTTTGTGTTTCTATAATTATACAGTGGTTTATGCGAAAGGAAGGGATAAGTGACTGGTTAGTTTGATTTTGCCATGAGGCCCTCCAAGGGATAACTGTTGTGATGGCCAACGGCGTATTTTCTGGGTCACCGAGATACGTGTTATCTATAAGTCCGTGGATTTACATAATTTATAATATTACCGGGTTCAATAAAATGGTATGATTTAATTATATTGCTGAATTAGACGATTATTTTTGTTTTTACATGCAAGATTTAAATTAGTACCAATATGAATACCCGGCCCAATATATAAAAAAAAAACAGAAAGGTTTGTCCCTTGGTGTAGGGAAGGTGTTTAGCCCCGTACCATCTGTACCGGCCACATTCCGGTACTATATTCAATATATATTTAAATATATCTACTTTATGTTTATGCCTATTATCATTGTTGACATTTAATTGTAAATGTATGAAGGGAGAAGGCTGTGATAAATTGTAAAAACTTGTGCCCCATCCCTTGTTTTACTTTATTGGCGACAAATTTATGTTTAAAGCTAAATAAATTTACATTCTGAACATTGGCAAGTGTGCGATTAACTTCTAATGATGAATAATTACTATTCAATAAGTTTGAATACGGACTTAGAAATCATATAACTTGGTTTCATAGTGCGGTAAGAAGCTGCAGTTGCCTGACGGCCCCTCTCTGGGGGCCCCTTTGGAAACCGTTTCATCTCGCTCGCACCACTTGTGTTTACTGCCTAGACAGGTGATGTTATCGGCGATATTTTTAGCAGGGCTTTCCCGAACAATTCATGTGGTCAAACTGGACAGTTGAAACGGACTATGAATATGGGGATAGCGAGGTAACATAAGGGGAAGTGCATACAATACATACATTCATTAAAAAAAAAACGCCTTTTCACGTGATGTCCCTTTAACAGTTCAACTGCAATGATTATAATAACTTCGTTGCGGGGAATACACATGTAATAACAAATACAACTTGCTCAATGACTTACATTAAAGAAGTTTCTATCATCATTCAAACTTTCTTGTTCTTCTGAACTCAGATTCGAAATCTGGGCTTTCTTCATTAGTATTGAATCCATATTGATTTCCTTTGGTTTGAGGTATGGTATCATGGACTCACGCTTATGTCCACGTTTGCCTGCAACACAACATGTTGTATACTTCAAAAACCAATGCCATTCGCACATCTATGTAATTTTTGGACTGAAAATGCTGCCAAAGGTCTTCTAACGTATTTTGCAGAGCAATTGTTTTCTCAAAAACGATGTCCAGAATGCCAAAAAAAATGACCTCCGACATGAAGCTTTGATACAAATATAGATATTTTTTCATGTCTGTAATAACTTATATGCATTACTTGTTTATCAATGTAAAGCATCTAGTGACCCAAAAAAACTAAAGTTTTAAGGATGTACTCCTCCGAAAAGTCAAAAGATTCCTGTTTCAACCATTTCAGCAGCCATGCTGGCCTTCTTCAATCCCAAATATTTACGTTCTGCCTTTTGATCTCATGATTATCCCCTTGGTTCAGCATATCTATCATTCCAAGAAAGTTCAATATAATTGGTCACATACTACTAGAAAAGAATGTACACAAAATTAATTCAATTTCAAAGTAAACTCTAACCGTTGCTTTCACTTCCAAAAATAAACTCTAACCCTCTAACTAACTTTTTTTATTACAAAGATTAAGAATGTAGGTACTGCGTCTTTATTATTATTGTTCTGATGGTAATCCCAATACTTCCTTGAAAGAGTGGCTGCAGCTCTCTGCTGCACACTATCGCTTCGCTCTTCACCTGCTGTCTAGAGCAGATACTGAGATAATAATTTCAAAAAGACACCCCAACCCGATTCGTTCCCTCCTTTCCAGAAATCCTGGATCCAACACTGGGTATAAACACTAATACATGTACATGTTGTTTTTCCTTTCTATCTTTTTCTACTTTCTGTTTCAGCAATAATTACATCAACCATAATTATGGAGAGCTAAATAGTGTTTAGGTAGGTGAAGAAACTTGTCTCCAAACCTCATATGTATCATTTGCCAATTAATAATGTAAGCCTTTTCACAACATCAGTTATCACAGGTTTTGTTCTACAACAGTATAATATATCACACAAGACCTTCACCAACATCTTGAATCTAACCGGTACTTATGTATCACATAGGACCTTTTCCGACATCCTCATTCTACCAAAGTTCAACATAATACCTTCACAGACATCCTCATTCTATAAAAAAAAAGAGCATCCCACAGGACCTTCACCGCCATCTTCATTCTAACAAAGCATCACACAGGACCTTTACCGACATCCTCATTCTTACAAAGCATCACACAGGACCTTCACCGCCATCTTCATTCTAACAAAGCATCACACAGGACCTTTACCGACATCCTCGTTCTAACAAAGCATCCCACAGGACCTTCACCGCCATCTTCATTCTAACAAAGCATCACACAGGACCTTCACCGACATCCTCATTCTAACAAAGCATCAAACAGGACCTTCAACGACATCTTCATTCTAACAAAGCCTCACATAGGACCTTCACCGACATCCTCACTCTACCAAAGTTCAACATAATACCTTCACCGACATCCTCATTCTATAAAAAGCATCCCACAGGACCTTCACCAACATCTTCATTCTAACAAAGCATCACACTGGACCTTCACCGACATCTTCATTCTAACAAAGCATCACACAGGACCTTCACAGACATCCTCATTCTAACAAAGCATCACACTGGACCTTCACCGACATCCCCATTCTAACAAAGCATCACACAGGACCTTCACCGACATCCTCATACTAACAAAGTATCAAACAGGACCTTCACCGACATCCTCATCCTAACAAAGCATCACACAGGACCTTCACCGACATCCTCATTTTAACAAAGCATCACACAGGACCTTCACCGACATCTTCATTCTACAAAGCATCACACAGGACCTTCACCGACATCCTCATTCTAAAAAAGCATCACACAGGACCTTCACCGACATCCTCATTCTAACAATGCATCACACAGGACCTTCACTGACATCTTCATTCTACAAAGCATCACACAGGACTTTCACTGACATCCTCATTTTAACAAAACTTTTACAAAGGACATTCAGTGACATGCTCCTTCTACCAAAACATAACATAGGTCCTTCATCGACATTCTCATTCTAATAAAGCATCATACGGGACCTTCACCGACATCCTCATTCTAACAAACTTTTACAAAAGGCATTCAGTGACATGCTCCTTCTACCAAAACATAACATAGGTCCTTCACCGACATCCTCATTCTAACAAAGTATCAAACAGGACCTTCACCAACATCTTCATTTTAACAAACTTTTACAAAGGACATCCAGCGACATGCTCATTTTACCAAAATATAACATAGGACTTTCACCGACATCCTCATTCTACTGAAGTATCACAAAGGAGCTACAAAGACATTCTAATTCTAACAAAGTATCAAACAGGACTTTCACCGACATCCTACCTGGCAAATACAACACCCTCAGTTCATGTTATCATCGATTTTACATATTCTTTCATATAGCATACAGTAATTACCTTTAAGGATCTTGACCTTGTCTTGAGTGTCCTTCGAAATCAACCTCTTTCCTCCGAGGTCATGTAGCTTTTTGTGCCCCTTCAAAAGAACTGTTAGAAATTTCTTCTTGCATATATTGCATGGCTTTTTGACATGCAAGGCATTGAAGTGAGCTTCTCGTTTCTCTTTTGATGTGAATGTTAATGCACACCCTTCACATTTTAACACAGCCTTCTCTAATTTGATGTGCATCCTGTAATGATTCCTCAAATGCAGCTTAGTCCGGAGCTGTCTCCTACACACGCTGCATTTGTATTTTTGCTTACAGATAGTTACATGAGTTTTTGACCTGTATCTGAGCATATGCGTTGACAAAGCTGTTTTTCCTGAAAAACATTTTCCACATATGTTGCATGTATTTTTATGAAACTTACGGTGACAAAACAGTTTTCTTGAGCTTGTGAATTCTTTGCAACATATATCGCATTTAAAATTTTCTTCCACGGTTGAACCCATTGTTGGTTTTGCATGGAATTTTGATGTTCTATGTTTCTCTGAATGTCTTTTCAGCTTTATAAGATCTGGAAAGCTTACTCCACATATATCACAAATGCAGTCACTTTGATGCACGGTTTTCTTCTGAAGAGACATTTGATTATGTGCTATATTCTCACCACATATATAACTAGGTAGTACCCGATGAACCTTCTTTATATGGTTCTGCAAGTGCCTATCTATCTGAAATACTTTACCACACAAATCACACGTGAACACTGGCTTCGTTTTCTGACCAAAAGAATTCTCAAGTTCAGACATTTGTAGGTTTTTGTTACTGCTACCTTTTTTATCGTAAGAAGTTGCAGAGTCTTGATGTGTATCGAAGCGTTCTCTGTGCCAACGTACATGACTCCTTAAATTCTTAACTGTGATAAATGTTTTCCCACAAACTTCACATGTGTACGGTCGGTCGTCGTTCTTGTGAATCTCAAGATGAGTTCGGAAGCTGTCTGCAGTTTTGAAACAGTCTTCACATACACTGCAAATGAAATATCGTGAATTACTCTCATTCTCATGAGCTAGTTTGTGGTTACCAATCAACTGTCGGTTTATTTGTAGTCCACAAATATCGCACGACTCAGTGGTATGAAAAGAACGCATGTGCCTTTGGAGAACGACTTTTGATTTATAAGATTTAGCACAAATTTCACACTTCTGAAATTCTGTTCTCAGATGAATTTTCATGTGAGAACTTAACTGTCCCCTTGTTGAAAAGCAGCGACCACAGCTGTCACATTTTATTGACTGCTGATGAAACCTCATGTGCATACTAAGGCCCGTGGTTTGTACAAATCTTTTCCCACAAATATCACAACTGTATTTCTTGTCATTCACATGAACAGACATATGAGTTTTTAGTCCCTTCAGTCCAGAAAATTGTTTACCGCACACATCACATTTATGTAATTTCTTATTTACATGCTCAGCCCTGTGATGTTTCAGTTCACCTTTCGTCAATATTTTACCACAAACCTTACACGGTTTTTCATTATGTGCTAAGTCAATGTGGTTTTTCAAAGCAATTTCTGTCTTAAATGTTTTTTCACATTTATCACAGTTCTTCTCTACATTTCGATGGATTCGTAAATGCACGTCCAAAAGACATTTTCGCAAAAATGTTTTACCACACAAATCACATGGGAACAACAACTTCGTTTTCGCAGCAATAGAATCCTCCAACTCTTCAGGCATTTGTAAGTTTTTTTCACTTCTTCCATTTTTATCAGAATCTTTTGAGCCTTGATTTGTATTTGAACGTTCTATGTGCAAACGTGTATGATCCGTTATACTCTTAATGGCGATAAAGGTTTTCCCACAAATTTCACACGTGTACGGTCGGTCCTCGTCCTTGTGTATCTCAAGATGAGTTTGGAAGCTGTCTGCAGTTTTGAAACTGTCTTCACATATACTACAAATGAAATCTCGTGAATTACTCTCGTACTCATGAGCTAGTTTGTGGTTACCCATCAACTGTCGGTGAATTTGTAGTCCACAAATATCGCACGACTCAGCAGTATGATAAGAACGCATGTGCCTTTGGAGTACACCTTTTGTTTTAAAAGTTTTATCACAATATTCACATTTGGGAAATACAGTTCTCAGATGAATTTTCATGTGCAAACTAAGCTGTGCTCTTTTAGAAAAGCAGCGTCCACACTTTTCACATTTAATGGACTGCTGATGAAACCTCATGTGCATCTTAAGGCCCGTGGTTTGTACAAATCTTTTCCCACAGATATCACAAATATATTTCTTGTCATTCACATGAACAGTCATATGCCGTTTTAGTCCACTCAGTCTAGGAAATTGTTTAAAACACATATCACATTGGTATTGTTTCTTGAGTATATGTTCAGCCATGTGACGTTTCAGTTCACCTTTTGTCAATATTTTACCACAAACCTCACACGGTTTTTCATTATGTGCTAAGTCAATGTGGTTTTTCAAAGCAATTTCTGTCTTATATGTTTTTTCACATTTATCACAGTTCTTCTCTACATTTTGATGGATTCGTAAATGTACGTCCAAAAGACATTTTCGCAAAAATGTTTTACCACACAAATCACATGGGAACAACAACTTCGTTTTCGCAACAATAGAATCCTCCAGATCTTCATGCATTTGTAAGGTTTTTTTACCGCTTCCATTTTTATCAGAAACTTTTGAGTCTTGATTTGTATTTGAACGTTCTATGTGCAAACGTGCATGATCCGTTATACTCTTAATGGCGATAAAGGTTTTTCCACAAATTTCACACGTGTACGGTCGGTCCTCGTCCTTGTGTATCTCCAGATGAGTTCGAAAGCTGTCTGCAGTTTTGAAACTGTCTTCACATATACTACAAATGAAATCTCGTGAATTACTCTCGTACTCATGAGCTAGTTTGTGGTTACCCATCAACTGTCGGTGAATTTGTAGTCCACAAATATCGCACGACTCAGTAGTATGATAAGAACGCATGTGCCTTTGGAGAACACCTTTTGTTTTAAAAGTTTTATCACAATATTCACATTTGGGAAATACAGTTCTCAGATGAATTTTCATGTGCAAACTAAGCTGTGCTCTTTTAGAAAAGCAGCGTCCACACTTTTCACATTTAATGGACTGCTGATGAAACCTCATGTGCATCTTTAGGCCCGTTGTTTGTTCAAATCTTTTCCCACAGATATCACAAATATATTTCTTGTCATTCACATGAACAGTCATATGCCGTTTAAGTCCACTCAGTCTAGGAAATTGTTTAAAACACATATCACATTGGTATTGTTTCTTGAGTATATGTTCAGCCATGTGACGTTTCAGTTCACCTTTTGTCAATATTTTACCACAAACCTCACACGGTTTTTCATTATGTGCTAAGTCAATGTGGTTTTTCAAAGCAATTTCTGTCTTAAATGTTTTTTCGCATTTATCACAGTTCTTCTCTACAATTTGATGGATTCGTAAATGTACGTCCAAAAGACATTTTCGCGAAAATATCTTACCACACAAATCACATGGGAACAACACCTTCTCAACAATAGAATCCTCCAGATCTTCAAGCATTTGTAAGTTTTGTTTACCTCTTCCATTTTTATCAGAATCTTTTGAGTCTTGAAGTATATCTGAACGCTCTATGTGCGAACGTGCGTGATCCTTTATACTCTTAATTGCGATAAAAGTTTTTCCACAAATTTCACATGCATAGGGTCGGTCCACATCCTTGTGAATCTCAAGATGAGTTCGGAAGCTGTCTGCAGTTTTGAAACTGTCTTCACATATACTACAAATGAAATATCGTGAATTACTCTCGTACTCATGAGCTAGTTTGTGGTTACCCATCAACTGTCGGTGAATTTGTAGTCCGCAAATATCGCACGACTCAATGGTATGAAAAGAACGCATGTGCCTTTGGAGAACACCTTTTGTTTTAAAAGATTTATCACAAAATTCACATTTGGGAAAAACGGTTCTCAGATGAATTTTCATGTGCAAACTTAGCTGTGCCCTTTTAGAAAAGCAGCGTCCACACTTATCACATTTAATGGACTGTTGATGAAACTCCATGTGCATCTTAAGGCCTATGGTTTGTACAAATCTTTTCCCACAAATCTCACAAATATATTTCTTGTCATTCATATGAACAAACATATGAGCTTTCAGTCCCTTCAGACTAGAAAATTGTTTACCACACATATCACATTTATGTAATTTTTTGTTTACATGTTCAGCCCTGTGATGTTTCATTTCACCTTTTGACAATATTTTCCCACATATATCACAAAGTTTTTCAGTATGTGCTAAGTCAATATGATTGTTCAGAGCAATTTCTGTCTTAAATGTTTTTTCGCATTTATCACATTTCTTCTCTACACATTGATGGATTCGTAAATGTTCGGTCAAATTACCTTTTCGCGGAAATATTTTACCACAAAAATCACATATGGACACGGACTTTCTCTCCTGAACAAAACGTCCATCCAGAGGTCCAGATATTTGTAAGTTTGTGTTCCCGCTTCTATTTTTATCCAAATTTTCAGAGTCTTGATGTTCATGTTTATCTGTCCGACCTCTGTGCGAACGTTAATGATCCTTTATACTTTTAAATGTGATAAATGTTTTCCCACAAATTTCACACGTGTACGGTCGGTCCTCGTCCTTGTGAATCTCAAGATGAGTTCGGAAGCTGTCTGCATTTTTGTATCTGTCTGCACATATACTACAAATGAAATCGTGTGACTCTCTCTCGTGCTCATGAGCTAGTTTGTGGTTACCCATCAACTGTCGGTTAATTTGTAGTCCACAAATATCGCACGACTCAGTGGTATGAAAAATACGTATGTGCCTTTGGAGAACAACTTTTGTTTTAAATGATTTATCACACATTTCACATTTGGGAAATACAGTTCGCATGTGAATTTTCATGTGAGAATTTAAATGTGCTTTTGATGAAAAACAACAACCACACCTGTCACATTTTATGGACTGCTTGTGAATTTTCATGTGCATCTTCAGACTTCTGGTTTGTACAAAGTTTTTCCCACAAATGTCACACCTAGATTTCTTGTCATTCACACCCTCATGAAAAACCATATGCCGTTTTATTCCATTTAGCCCATTACACATTTTACCACAAACATCGCAATTATATTGTTTCTTGTTTATATGATCAGCCCTTTGATGTTTCGGTTCACCTTTTGTAAATGTTTTAACACTAACTTCACAAGGTTTCATCATATGAACATTGTCAATATGGTTTCCAAGACTTATTTCTGTTTTGAATATTTCTTTACGTTGATTGCGTTTCTTCTCTTCCCGACGATGTCTTTTCAAATGTAGATCTAAATTCAATTTTTTAGAGAATATTTTTCCGCACAAATTACAAGGGGTCACTGACTTTTTCTTCTGACCGATAGAAATGTCATCAAGTTCAGGCATTTGTAGGTTTTTGATAGTGCTTCCATTTTTAATGGACGAATCTTCAGAGTCTCGAAGTCGTTGTGTATCCTCACAGTCTTTGTGCAAACGTGCATGTTCCTTTAAATTTCTAACTGTGATATATGTTTTCCCACAAACTTCACATGTGTACGGTCGGTCGTCGTTCTTGTGAATCTCAAGATGAGTTCGAAAGCTGTCTGCAGTTTTGAAACTGTCTTCACATATACTACAAATGAAATCTCGTGACTTGTTCTCGTGCTCATGAGCTAGTTTGTGGTTACCCATCAACTGTAGGTGAATTTGTAGTCCACAAATATCGCACGACTCAGTGGTATGATAAGTACGTATATGCCTTTGGAGAACGACTTTTGTTTTGAATGATTGATCACAAATTTCACACTTCGGAAATTCTGTTCTCAGATGAATTTTCATATGACTGCGTAAACTGCGCATTTCTGAAAAATGACGACCGCACCTGTCACATTTGATATTTTGTTGATGAAATATCATGTGCCGCCTTATTCCTGAGGTTTGTGTGAATCGTTTACCACAAATATCACAACTATATTTCTTCTCTTCTTTCGAATTGCTGGTAGGAATATGACTTTTTTCCCCATTCAGTCCAGAATATTCTTTTGCACACGCATTGTGTCTATCCTTTGTGTGGAGTTCAGCCTTGTGAGTTTTCAGGTCATTTTTCGAAACTTCTTTACCACAGATGTTGCATGTCGTCGTTGTCGTTTGTGCATTTTCTACATCCTTTTTTAGAGCTGTTCCGGTATCAAATGTCTTCTTACAATGTTTACGATCCCTGCATTCTGTTTTATGACTTTCATAATGAGTTTCCAACTTGAGTTTGCATAAGAAAGTTTCATCACACAGTTCGCATATAAACACTGTTATGAAATTTTGAACATCTGAAACCGTCAGGGTTTGCGAGGTACTTATACTGTCGTTATTGCTTTCACTGCAATCAGAAGAAGGATTAGAGCTTTGATGTGTATCGGAAGGATTCTTCTTATGTGATGACATATGACGCCCAATATTGGTAATTGTAGTAAATGTTTTCCCACAAATTTCACAAGTGTAAGGTATCCCATCGTTCTTATGAATCTCAAGATGTGTTCGAAAACTGTCAACTGTTTTGTAAATTTCCCCACATGCATCACAACAGAAGTCACGTGACTTTTTTTCGTGCTCATGAGCAAGTGTATGGTATTGGAACATCAGCGTTCCAGGAACTTGTCGTCCACAAATATCACACGACGTCATAGTATGTAAAGAGTCCATATGCATTTGGAAAGCATTTTTTCTTTTAAATGTCTTTTCACAAAAGGCACATTTGTTAACTGTGTTTCTATTGTGGATTTTCATGTGGGTCTGCAATTGACTTTTTTGAGAGAAACATCTGTTGCACACGTCACATTTGATTGACTGCTTATGAAGCTTCGTGTGTTTTCTAAGGTCACTGATTTGTGTGAATACCTTGCCACAAATATCACAGCTAAATTTCCCATTTTCTTCATCCAACGCCTCCTCCTGTTGGGGTACCGATAAATCTTCCACATACTCCTCTGTTTTAAGAGTAACATTCTTTTCTTCAAGACATCTTTGCTCTATGTCCCATAATCCAAAATCTGTTCTTTGAAAGATGTTGGTATCTTCATTGTTTTTTTCTGCAACAGGTTCAATAAAACTTTCCCCGTCAAGTGGTTCTGATTTTACCACAGAGCTGCTTTGGTAATTCGTAATGTAAGAATTGTTAATGCTTTCAACTAGCTGATTGTTGCTGACATTTTCTGTATCACTGATATAAGTTGATGCTGCCATTGTAATTTTGGTATCACTGATGTCATTATCACAACTGTTCAATTTGCGAAGATCTTCTTCCGGGAGAATACACTTGATATGCGTGTGTACATGCTTGCTTCAGGAAATCATACTGTAGGCTGCAACACATTCATATTGATACTCTCCATGTTACGAAATTGATACATTCCAGTATAAATAATTCTATACGTAATTTTTTCAGTTTGTTGAATATGCACCAGCCAGTCCGAACAGTCACAACTGTTTCTCACACAAATCCTTTCACTGGATTACTATTTCAAACACGTTGATATAGTCTAATCACAAGCATTTCCATTTCTTACGTCCTCGACAGGCCATCTGCTATCACAGAGATCTGCCAACATTCTTGATTACTTCATCCTGAAACCAAAATAAAAGACATCAAAGTATGTATCACAGAGATCTGCCAACATTCTTGATTACTTCATCCTGAAACCAAAATAAAAGACATCAAAGTATGATTAAAAACTTTCAATCGATTGCTTGGCTATTTCCATTAAATATGGGGTAGACTTTTTTATTTAGCAATGATCCCTTGACTCTCAACCAGCTAACATTTGAGCTATCATGATGGAGAAAAATGTCACAGACAGGTTTGATGGTTAATAAAATATTGTGTCTCCCTCTAAAATATGAAACCTTGGCAAGCTTAGAATTAACCCACATGAGTTACTGTATCGCACAATATATACATGTATGTATGCTGATGATTACTAATCATTAATGAAGTTTTTAATCTCAGATTTAACAAAAGGCCCTTTAGTATGAATAACTCCTGTGGTGTTGTTTTATTAATACTGTTAGAGCAACTTTATTAAAACAATTAATGTATACTTAAACATTCATGCCAGTAATCAAGATTTTCTGAACCAGAAAAAATAATAAAACAAAAAAATATTTTCTTACCTGCCTATATATATAGCTATCCTATTTTTTGGAGCCAAAACAGGGAACGCACATATATATTATATTCTGCCTACCTGCATTACATGCTAGATTCCATATGTTTTATTGTCCTGCAGTGAGTTGGCAAATAATTACTTTTGCCATAAAAAAGATTGCCATCTGAAAGCAGCCCAATGGTAACTTTTCTTGTTGAAATAATTTTGACAAAAGACTAATTAAGAGTGCCTGTATCGTTTATCTGGATTATAAAACAATCATGGTAAAATAATATCATTACCAAAAGTAATATAACAACTATTTTATTGTCGGTCTCATATATAGTTGAAAGGGGAACATTTGTATGAAACTTGACAAATATCTGTCTTCTTGAGAGGTACAATGATAACAAGAACTACATGTTTTGAAGGGTGACTCAAACAGCTGACGATTGCAGGCTACACAAGAAAATGCAGCAAAGCTGATGGACACGAAATCTTTTTTATGTAAATGACTTACTGACAGTCCAGCAACCACGAGGGAACAGATCATGCATAATTGAATTTATTTCATCATAATTATATAAAAGCATTAAATTTGTCATTCAGAAAATTCTGCTCACACTCAATATCCTTTTATTTGCACTATTGTCACCCAATAATTGTCCAACAGCACGCAAATGTACATTTTTAATCGCACATTTAGGCTTAACTGTCAATGATTTGGTATTAACGTCATCTTCTGAGAGAGAAAAATCCGGGACATAACATAATTTACATAAAATATCATTTATACCTTTTGTAAAAATCGCAGCGACTTTTGTAAATATTTACCTATTTGACTATTTGTGGATAAAATATCAACGGTATTCTAGGTGAAAGCGTCAATTCTAGACACACACACACACCCCGGAATAACAGTTATTACTTCTCGAGGCAGCTACGAAGATGCATTTTGCTACAACGCTGGTTTTTTGGTTGTTATCATACATATTCGTTTTATACAAGTGAATAAAATATATCGTATTGAACGGGAACACCAAGGAATTATCTATTTCCTACATTTTTTTTCACAACACGCCACGCAAATATTGCTACAAAAGAAAAGCGCAGGAATGTGTTTTTGACGCAAAGTTCTAATGACGTCACGCTTGACGACAAAACAGAACGCCATTTTGAATGGGTTTTCACTGCAATTTTGCTGTTTGCTGCTATTATCTGGTAAGATGTCCACACAAAAATGGTACTAATAGTGTAGTTATGTAAAAACATGAGGCCCAGGAGCCTTAATAGCTCACCTGGTATTTTATTTTTCAATCTAAAACCTGCTGAGTACCATACAGGTTTATCAAAGGAGTACAAGAAACAAATTCGCAAGAAGAACTACATATAAATCTGTTTATAAATCAAGAAAATGAGTTTCCATGTTATGTCCCAATTTTCCTCTATTTCCCCTATTGTGCCTCACATGCCCCTTTTTATACAAATTAAACAAATTGAGGGGGGGGGGCACATCTTCCATTTATAAATATTCAATTCCCTTTGCCCAAAGATTCTCCAGAACAAGTTTGGTTAAAATCCCTTCAACGGTACAGAAGGTGAAGGATCTTTAATGTTTTCCTCTATAGGCCAAAAAATATATATAGTATATTTAGGGTTGCATGGCCAAAAAACAAGGGTCGGATTTTTTTATTTGTTTTTGTATATTTTTTATGTACCTTGATTATAATAATCATGACCCTACTATTGTATGTAAAACAATGAATTACATAAACAAGGTTCATTTGGAGGCAAATTGTGCTCCATATGATGACATTTAGCACCAACACGGAGCTGGAATCCATTTTGAAAGGCAAGGAACCTTCTAAAATTCGAAAATCAGCTTGGTTTTGAAAAAAAAAGTTTTGGGTCGGGGGTAAAAAGCTAGGGTCGGTCGGCAAGCCTAAACAGACAGCTTTTTTTTTGGCCTAATGGCCCCAACCCATCTGCCCCAAAGAAGGGGATCCACACACCTCAGTTTTGTTCCTAAGCATGCTTCAGACTGCATTTGATTTAAATCAATTCACTTGTATAGTAGGAGAAAAACAAATCCTCTATTTCCCCTATTGGCCCCGCCCCTCGGCCCACAGAGGGGCTACACCCTCCATTTATACAAAACTGAGAACCCTTTGGCCAATGATGCTTCAGACCAAATTTGGTCAAAATCCTCTGAGCCGTTCAGGACAAGTAGCGTTTAAAAGGAAAAAGTTGCCGGACGCCGGACGCTGCGCCATGGGATAAGCTCACTTTGCCCTTCACTAGTAAACTGTAATAAATATTGATACCGTAGGATTTACCATCATTTTTTTGTAGACAGTATGCGGCCTCAATTTCTCAGAAGGCTTTCACGCATGGGGAAGCATCGGAAGTAGACAAAGTGTTTACAGATCAAAACCCCGGCTGCGCAATGCGCCGCTTGGGGGGTTTGAATCAAGAGATCCCAGAGGGATCTTGGCGCCCACCATTGTACCATATTCATCAGTTCTTTGACAGTTCGATCTTTTCTCTTCTTTTCTCTAATCTGTTTGATCGAGTCATGTAAACAGTAAATGCACCTTGAGGTATTTTTTTATCTAAACTTAATACTGATGTGTATGAAAGACAACCTACAAAGTGAGTTTGTCATTTCACATATTTACTAGTACAGTACTTAATGTGAAAGAAATAGAATTGATCATCACAATATGAGAAAGATCTGTTTAGCCATTTTGTTTTTATGATCAGTTTAAAAATATAACATGCACAATGTGGGATCAAGTGGAACCAACATATCAAACCTGAGAAATAGTACATGTACTAACAAACCTTCAATGTCAAAAATCAAAGATGGCTGTCGGTCGGCCATTTTGTTTATCTGATCAGTTTCAAAAGTAATCGTGAACAATAAAGGATAGTGGGGAACCTGCATATAGAATTTTACAAAGCACCCTCTAGTACTTCCTGGGAAATATCACTAATAAACCTTAACTGTCAAAATCAAAGATTTGTTTATCCGATCAGTCTCATAAGAAAATATGCATAGCTTCATACCAAGGGGAACCTACATATAAAATTTAAGAAAGATCTCTCCAGTACTTCCTGAGTATTAGCCATAACAAACCTTCACTTTCAAAATCCAAGATGACTGCTTGTCGGCCATTTTGTTTATTTGATCAGTCTCAAAAGTTAACCTGCACAACTACAGACCTAGGGGCACCTACATATACAATTTGAGAAAGATCCCTTTGGCACTTCCTGAGAAATAGTGATAACAAGAATTGTTTAAGGACGGATGGATGGACAACGGACCACGGACGCAGGGCATCATCTAATGGTGGGCTACAAATGTAAAGAAGAAATTATTTCCGATTTGATATCATTTCTCTGATAATATCAGAACCCAAAATTAATCAACTGTATATGAAACTGCATGGTTATCTGTTCCTATATATTCTGTAAAAACCTGATTTATGGACACATTTTATGTGAAGCAGAGCTGGACTGGGTCGATCATCAGCGACCTGGTTTAGGATAGCTCTGTCAGTAAGGTCAGGTCCAAGAGTTTGGAGAGTCCAGGGTTTAAATCTCTTGACCCCTGTGACCTTGAATATTGGTGGAGGTCATTTATTTGAACAAAGTCGGTAGCTCTTCATCCAAGCATGCTATTGACCAAACATCACCATTCCAACTAACTTTAAGTCAATATTAATATTTATCAACACTGACATCAATTTTTATAAAAGAAACAAACAAAATAAATTTCTTTCAATGCCTACTGTACATTGTACATATTTGTCTCTTGAGTTGAGGAATAAACTGATCAGCGATTTTTGTAGAATTTTTACAGGCGATGCTCAACATTTTTTTCAAAATTTTGATGAGTTCCATTACTACAATGTACGAGATGTAGTGGGTCCTCAAAAAGTTGATGAGAAGATATGCTCAAGCAAGAATTTTGTGCTCAATCCATTGTTCCGGTTTAGATAAATAAAGATTTTTTTTTTCAATGATTGGAAAAAAATAGAGAAACTTCAAGCCAAACAAGAGCTATTGGAGAACAGCATAGCGCACCTATTGGTGATAGATGTTGTAAGATAGCAAATATCAATACTGAATAGAAACAAATGTAAAGTAAAACCTCAATATAATGCCCGTCATTCATTTTCCACCTCACTTAATGCCAACATATTTTCAGGTCCCTTAATCATGTTTTTCTTAATAATTCCTTATACATTTCCCTCAATTTATCGCCAAACCCCTTTATAAAGCCAATATTTCTTTGAACAAATGATGGCAATGTAACAAGATTTTGCTGTACCTTAACATGTAAGAAGAGATGACCAGCCAACGTGAAATAGTCAACAGCGTATTGATGGCGGTGACCGATTCAACACTGCACAAAAAAACTTGCCCAAAAAGTCCAATTAAGCTGTTTTTGGCCCATGAAATATGGTTCAGCACATTGCTTACACTCCATATAAATACTTCAACCTTATAATAGACAATGGCTTATTGATGGTGGTGATCCAACACTAAACAACAAAACTTGCCCCAAAACTTTAACCAAGTCCAGTTAAGCTGTTTTAGGCCCCTAAAACATGAAAATATGATCCAGCACATTTCTTATACTCGATATAAATACTTTAACCTCATAATAGACAACTGTGTATTTAGAGTGATGATCCAACACTGTCTGGAAAAAAACTTTTTCTCTGAATAGGCAAGCTTAAAAAAGGTTTCCAATGTTTACAATTCACTTTTTTATCATTTGACATGATTTAAGTGAGTTACAAGAAAGATGGTTTGAGCACAGAATCCATGCTTGAGCATAATAATGGCTTCATGAATACAGGCCAAGGACTCAACTATCGGAGTCCCCAAAATTTCAATCATCATTGATATTTATAGCCCCTAAGCTATCTAACATATATATTACAGTTTCTTAACATACATACACATTGTCATTATATAGTCCTTCTCTGAGCTGAGTCAAAACATGGACAACTTCTAGGCAACTGCAATCAAGGGGAGATAACCAACTAATTGTTTCACTCTGTCTGGAACCAGAATTTCTCACCTGAAAATATAATAACTTCATACAAATATATGTCTTTCAAAAACAAGGAGTATGATGAAATAAAATATTTACTAACACTATATATTTATCACTGATATTCAATCAAAATCTGTAAATTTATGATTTTCAGAATGGTATTCATCAATGTTGTATTAATATATTAAGCACATTGTATTAATGTAAGGATACAAGTGTATATCTGTTTTGTGTACAAACATAGATTTGTTTTGTGTATAAACATAGATTTGTTTTGTGTACAAACATAGATTTGTTTTGTGTACAAATATAGATTTGTTTTGTGTTTAAACATAGATTTTTTGTACATAGATTTGTTTTGTGTACAAACATAGATTTGTTTTGTGTATAAACATAGATTTGTTTTGTGTATAAACATAGATTTGTTTTGTGTACAAACAAAGATTTGTTTTGTGTTCAATAAACACAATGCAAAATGTAAAACTGTTACATGCAAATTAAATATATTTATACATATGATTCATGCATAAAACACAATTCAGTGTTAACAAGTGAAGGAAAAACACTAACGGGGTCGGGACGACTAAATGTTCGGAACGACTTTGGGGCCGGAACTACTATGGACGGACCGGATAGGGGCCGGCACTACTAGGGGGTCGGACCGGGAGAGGCCATAATGACTTTTGATTCGCGATGTTCAACTGAACAACAACCTATGGACATTCATTAACTCATGCGTTTGCAGCAATGCGTTTTCACAACAAATACTCGTTAACGTACAAATTCTTAACAACAGCTTCGAGTGAAAACCCTGATACTTACACATATTCCGATGCAATGTTTGCAAGAACCGGAAACTTCTAACTTATTCTAATTGTACTTCGGATGGCGGATGGCGATAAGTATTCCGGAAATGAACAGTATTTTTTATAACGATTCTAGTTCTGTTATTAGAATGCGTCTTGCATTTGGCGTAGCATACATGTATACAAGCATACATTGAAAATTTTCAAGAAGATTTTTTAATCATATATTTTAATTATGATTAACTATGCTAGTATGGACCGTCCGATATGGATCAGTCATAAAAAGGAAAAGATAAAATTGTGTCTACACATTGACAAATTTCCGAAGTTTATGTAAATCAAAAACTACTAAGTGAAGGACAAAATTAATATTATTCATATAAAAAGTCGGGTTTTACTTGTTAATAATTAGATTTCCCCCCTAAGCTATGAGCCATGAAATATGACGTCACATTCATCATTGGTGGTCGGGTGGCGGCTGCGCAGTGGATAGTGCACTTGCCTTTCATCAAGGCGACCGTGGTTCGATTCCCCGATCGGACGTGAAAAGGTATGAGGTCACCTGCCCGACCACGTGGGTTTTCTCCGAGTACTTCGGTTTCCTCCCACATTTAGACCCCCGCGCGCTAATATCCGCGCCAACAAGTGTGAATAATATAAGCTGAGATAACTTGTTTCTTAATTGTTGTTAAATACATAAAGTTTACATTTACACTCATCATTCGAGCTACCATAAGAGTTGGCGCGAGAACTGGATGTAAATAACACAAAAAAGGATATGTATGTAAGTATACATGTAATTCCTCAGATACATGTATATTGTCCCTCTATACGTTCCTCCGACATGTTAAGTTCCCAGATTGACTGGAATTGTTCCTTTTTCGATTGTGTAAAAGATGCCTCTTATGTAGTGCTCCTCTAAGATTTATAAAAAGGATCATTCAACACATTGCTTTTCAAAGATCGGCTGAAATGTTTTGCTGACGTGCTGCTCTTCTCAGATTGATTCAAACGTTCAAATGATGCATTGCTTTTCTTGGATTGACTAAAATGGAAACTACGAAACATGACGTCACTCGCATCTTTCGACGGGAGAGGTCATGAACAAATGCCGGTAAACACTGTTTTGCAACAGTTGTATTAAAGTCGCCAGTAACATTAAATCTCTCTGAACAATATATTATGGTTTATCAATGTGTGTGACCATAAGAATGTTTTTCTTGTCACTTTAGTTATGTATTTTCTCGTGATTTCAAATGATGCAACAATGAATTGACTGTATAGTGTATGGTAAACACATGCGGATAAATTCATTAAGAGTCTATTTATTGTTGTTTTTGTAAAAAAAAAAAAATGTGGCTAACTACTGTTTTTTCCTTCTTCTTTTCGATATACCCTATCACAAATGTACCAACGAAGTAGTTTGTAAACGCAAAACTGCGAAAAAAAGTTATGCAGTAAATGTAGGGCCGCGTTGTCCGAGTGGTTTAGTCGACTAGCACTCCACCACGGGATCGTGGGTTCGAGACCTACCTGGTGCAGTCGCCAAATACTGTCCGCAGATCGGTTGTTTTTCTCCAGGTTCTCTGGCTTTTATCCATCTCCAAGACCAGACACGTCCATAAATGACTATAGACGTTAATAGGACGTAACAAGCCGAGCCAATACAGTAAATGTAGTGTAGTTAATTATACCCGAGAATGCTCCAATAAAAAAGCTAAACAACGTGGGTTTGAACCCTCTTGTTTATTTGCATACATTAAATATGTACTACTGTAATAGATGGTTCACTGCAGTCAGCATATGCGTATTACGTGTATACAGTTCCCCAGACACATCGGCTGGTAACACATACTACACAGACCAGTGAAACGCGACAACTGATCATGATGACCAGTCAAAATGATAACACGATGACCTAGATACTGGGAAGATGGAGGAAGCAGGTACGTACTGACTGGTTTTTACAGGTAAACAGCTACGTTTACTGTCCTTCACAGTAACACTGGACTAAGAAAATATGATCAGAAATAATCTTTAACCAAGTTATTGAAAATCAGTTTGACATACATCAGCTGGGCAGCCGTACTAGTACATATATAAAGGTACGCATGTTTACGTTTTATATAACCGGCTAAGATTGTAGGGTGTGTATAAATATGTGTCTGTACATACACACGTGAAAGTACCCTGTAACTGTATGCATGTGTCACAATGAGATGGTTGTATGCAATCATCTTGCTTTAATAAATATTGAATATGCGATGGCATGAACCATACTGCATTTCAGACAGAGTAATTTGAATGAATAAATTGACTTTTATCCCATGATTTCCCCCTGACTTCGTTGTCTTGGAGTAAGTTCTCAGCTATGTGTCAGTCCCAAAAAATTTAAATCGCCCTTGCAGATTAACTCCTCCGACCGTTTCCGGTGGTTCAAACTAACTCCCTCGCAATTTTCCGTGGGGGGGGGGGGGGGGGGGGGGGNTTCTCGACACAAGCTAGCATACAATACTGGAAGAAGAGATAATTTATCGGAAATTACGGTTGGCATGCTTGAGGGATTTAGCAATTTTCTTGATCCCCGATACCAGGTATATTTCCTGATGCGAAGCCCAGAGAAATAGACACGACTGAGGGGAACCATAAACTTGCTGAATCACCCTTACCTTTACTTCAACTGCATCCCTATGATAAATAGATATATGTGCATCAGTTGTAAATTATTCCTACATCTGTAGGTCTTAAGTCAAGCACTTATCTCCTGTTATATATCTGCTGTATCTTGCGCTATATCAACTGCCTCCTGTATTTTTTCTACTGTAAGCCTCCTGTGTTTTGTTTATTGCAATCCTCGCATGTTTTATTTGCTGTAGGTCTTTCGTATTTTTTTACTGTATGTCTCATGTTTTTGTCAGCTGTAATCCTCCTGTATTTTGTCTACTATAGGCCACCAGTATTTTGTCAGCTGTAAGCCTCCAGTATTTTGTCTTCTATAGGCCTCCTGTATTTTGTCTACTATAGGCCTCCTGTATTTTGTCTACTATAGGCCTCCAGTATTTTGTCTACTACACACCTCCAGTATTTTGTCTACTATAGACCTCCTGTATTTTGTCTACTTTAAGCCTCTTGTATTTTGTCTACTATAGGCCACCAGTATTTTGTCAGCTGTAAGCCTCCAGTATTTTGTCTTCTATAGGCCTCCTGTATTTTGTCTACTATAGACCTCCTGTATTTTGTCTACTATAGACCTCCAGTATTTTGTCTACTATAGACCTCCTGTATTTTGTCTACTTTAAGCCTCTTGTATTTTGTCTACTATAGGCCTCCTGTATTTTGTCTACTATAAGGCCACAAGTATTTGTCTACTTTAAGCCTCCTGTATTTTGTCTTCTATAGGCCACCAGTATTTTGTCTACTTTAAGCCTCCTGTATTTTGTCTACTATAGAACTCCAGTATTTTGTCTACTATAGGCCTCCTGTATTTTGTCTACTATAGGCCTCCTGTATTTTGTCTACTATAAAACCTCCAGTATTTTGTCTACTATAGGCCTCCTGTATTTTGTCTACTAAAGACCTCCTGTATTTGTCTACTATAGACCTCCTGTATTTTGTCTACTATAGACCTCCTGTATTTTGTCTACTATAGACCTCCAGTATTTTGTCTACTATAGACCTCCTGTATTTTGTCTACTAAAGACCTCCTGTATTTGTCTACTATTGACCTCCAGTATTTTGTCTACTATAGACCTCCAGTATTTTGTCTACTATAGACCTCCTGTATTTTGTCTACTATAGACCTCCAGTATTTTGTCTACTATAGACCTCCTGTATTTTGTCTACTATAAGCGTCCTGTATTTTGTCTACTATAAAACCTCCAGTAATTTGTCTACTATTGACCTCCAGTATTTTGTCTACTATAGACCTCCAGTATTTTTTCTACTATAGACCTCCATTATTTTGTCAGCTGTAAGCTTCCAGTATTTTGTCTACTATAGACCTCCTGTATTTTGTCTACTTTAAGCGTCCTGTATTTTGTCTACTATAAAAACTCCAGTAATTTGTCTACTATTGACCTCCAGTATTTTGTCTACTGTAGACCTCAAGTATTTTGTCTACTATTGACCTCCAGTATTTTGGCTACTATTGACCTCCAGTATTTTGTCTACTATTGTCCTCCAGTATTTTGTCTACTATAGACCTCCATTATTTTGTCAGCTGTAAGCTTCCAGTATTTTGTCTACTATAGACCTCCTGTATTTTGTCTACTTTAAGCGTCCTGTATTTTGTCTACTATAAAACCTCCAGTATTTTGTCTACTATAGACCTCCAGTATTTTTTCTACCATAGACCTCCATTATTTTGTCAGCTGTAAGCTTCCAGTATTTTGTCTACTATAGACCTCCAGTATTTTGTCTTCTATAGACCTCCATTATTTTGTCAGCTGTAAGCGTCCAGTATTTTGTCTACTATAGACCTCCAGTATTTTGTCTCCTATAGACCTCCATTATTTTGTCAGCTGTAAGCGTCCAGTATTTTGTCTACTATAGACCTCCAGTATTTTTTCTACCATAGACCTCCATTATTTTGTCAGCTGTAAGCGTCCAGTATTTTGTCTACTATAGACCTCCAGTATTTTTTCTACTATAGACCTCCATTAATTTGTCAGCTGTAAGCTTCCAGTATTTTGTCTACTATAGACCTCCAGTATTTTTTCTACTATAGACCTCCAGTATTTTTTCTACTATAGACCTCCAGTATTTTTTCTACTATAGACCTCCAGTATTTTTTCTACTATAGACCTCCATTAATTTGTCAGCTGTAAGCTTCCAGTATTTTGTCTACTATAGACCTCCTGTATTTTGTCTACTATAGCCCTCCAGTATTTTGTCTACTATTGACCTCCATTATTTTGTCTACTGTAGACCTCCAGTATTTTGTCTACTATTGACCTCCTGTATTTTGTCTACTATTGACCTCCAGTATTTTGTCTACTGTAGACCTCAAGTATTTTGTCTACTATTGACCTCCAGTATTTTGGCTACTATTGACCTCCAGTATTTTGTCTACTATTGACCTCCTGTATTTTGTCTACTATTGACCTCCAGTATTTTGTCTACTGTAGACCTCCAGTATTTTGTCTACTATAGCCCTCCAGTATTTTGTCTACTATTGACCTCCAGTATTTTGCCTACTATTGACCTCCAGTATTTTGTCTACTATAGACCTCCAGTATTTTGTCTACTATAGACCTCCATTATTTTGTCAGCTGTAAGCTTCCAGTATTTTGTCTACTATAGACCTCCAGTATTTTGTCTACTATAGGCCTCCTATATTACAGTTCCCTGTACTTTGACTGCATTTAGTCGTATGTGTTTTGTTTACGGTTGGCCTCCCGGCCATAATAAAGATAAGTTGTGTTATATCTACTGTAGGCCTATTGCATGCACCAGCTGTGCTACAGCCGTCACTAGAGGAGATACACAGACTGTCCGAGGACCTGAATCTTAAATGTACAGTTGAAGAGGAAAACGCTTTCTTCGGTATGTTTGTGTATATTTATATAAACATAAGAAGCGGCCGGCAGTGATCTGGTTAATGAATATGCAGAGTGGTATGAAGTCTGTTTCTGAAATTTTGAAAACCAATTTTGGGCAAAGTTTTTGGGTATATTCTGCTCTCTATATTATTCCAAAGTCACCAAAGGCAAGATTTCGAGTAAGTCAAATATTAATAAGTAGATATACGTTGAACGATATATGATGAACGTAAGACTTTTACATTCCATATGATGAGTTATGATACAAAATGTTGGGGGGGGGGGGGTTTAAACAGTTTATAAAACATTTTACTCAGGGATTAATAATTACTTCATTGGGATGTTTATTAAAGCCCTATCGTAGCTTACTAACTTCCTTTCTTAGATAAATGTATATACCTTTCATTGTCATACATTATATTTATATGAGGCATTTATTCAAAAAACAAAATGCATGCAATTAATTTCCTCTTTTCATCTCAACTTTAAAATTGGTTTTAATCTAATACATCATTATTTCAGACCTGGCATTTTCAAAATTTTACAAAAACGTTTCTAAAAATACTAATTTCACTAATTATATAATAGCATTTAAAGTACGTTTGAACAATCGTCTTTCCTCATTATTTGAAGTAAAATTCATATTTGTCAATCTTAGTTGTAGGAAAAGCAATGAATTTTTGAAAAAGGAGAAATTGCCTACACAACATTTCAGATCATTTTGTAAATAAAACTAAAACTTTCAGACGTGCATATTTTAATTATTTTAATCGTTAAAGACATATGTTGGTTATATAAATGTCAAACATGTTATTCCAGGGTGGTATCTTTGCGTATTGCAGAGTTATCTTCTCTTGTGAGCAGGTATTGATTGTTACGGCATTGGTTTGTGAGAGTACCGTCATCAATTTTTAAGAAAACGACGTAATTTTCTCACACAAACCAATGACGTAACAATCAATACCTGCTCCCAAGAGCAGATAACTCTGCAATACGCAAAGACGGAATATGTATAATGTTTTACATTAACAAGTACAGTATAATTTATTTTATTTGTTTTACTGAGTTATCAGAATAACATGGACAAGTTTTTCTCCATAACACCCAGGTTCTACGACCGACAAACGTTTAATTGTGTCGTATGTTTTTATTTTTATTTTAGATCACTATAAGAATGTACTGAAGTCGTACCAGACGGTGTACGAGCTACCCGACCCACAACTACCTGTCCGCTATCCGCGACTTCCTGGTCACAGGGAACGAAACGATAATGCATGGTAGATAGTTCCTCATTTTTCTTTGAACTTTTTAGACGAGGATATGTTTTGGCAAAGATTTATTCCTGCAATTCAAATACGTTGATTTTAACGTTGATAAAAGCACTACAATACATAAATATGCATTATTATAGGTGCCTTTTTAACAGAAAAATAATAGACTCTATATGCTTAATCAAAACATTAGTTTCATTTCTGTAACATTGAAAAACATATATACTCATGCATGTATTTGCTGCATTCGTATGTTAACATTACATTTTGAAAGGCAAACATTGAAACCAAATCACATGCTGATCACTTTCGTTTTTCGTATTTTTTACTTTAATAAACAAGGTATTTATTTATGTCATGAAATGAATAACGTCTGCCCTTCAGGTACTGGAGGTGTGACATCAAGGGAGCGGATACTGGGCTACTGGTCGGTAAGACCGTGGCAATCAAGGACTCCATTGCGGTGGCTGGAGTTCCCATGATGCACGGCACGAAATTGCTGGAGGGTTACACACCCGAGTTTGACGCGACTGTCGTCACGAGGGTCCTGGACGCCGGTAGGTAAACGTTAATTCCAAATAAAAATGTTTAAGGGAGACGACATACACTCTATATTCTATAAGGAGACATAATCATTAAGCGAAAAAAATCTTCTTTTAAATGACTTAATGGAAGATTAATTATTGACTTAAGGAGAACATATTTACTTGTTATTTCCATTTAAAACTGCTTAAGTATATATGTTATATAATAGTGATTTGTGTTATTGCTATCTACACTTAAAACTGTATGATTTCCGTACGTAATTTTTTATCATAGTTATTTTTGTTAATATCTCCCTTTATACTGTTTGAAGTGTTATTCTTACATACTGTATACGCGTTTTGTGTAATTTCTTGTGATTCATCGTCTAATGAATTACTTCCAAAATATCATCAAAATCTTTGGAAAGAAAATGTCATATTGAGGTCCCGTGTTATGTCCAAATTAAAGGTTTTATCGTGATAATAATGCATTTTTTTCATAAAAAAAATGTGTAATTATCAATTGTTGTTAAATTATTGTCCCACCGGAACGAAGTTTGGAGTGGGTATAGCAATGAGAGCCCCCTTGTCATCACTCTAGTGCCTTTCTGTTTCCACGTATTTTTCGTGAATTTTGTTTAAATGTTAGAAATGACAAATCCTCTTTAAGGAACTGCGTTCAAGCTAAATAATACCACCTTAGGTGAGCATTGTCATCGTTCTAAGGTGACTAAATTTCTCAACAGATTTTAATTTCGATGACGCATCACGAAAGTGCAATCTATGAAAATATTTGAATGAGCTTGTGAGGCTGTAAGGTAAGAAGATACCCCTACAAAGCTTTATTTCAACGTGCTATGCTCAAGGTAAATTTTAATGAACTACATGCATATGGTTATCTGACATATATACACATCAAAGTATCATCAAAGAACTACCCGTATGTCTTCTTTTTATGAAATCACATTTAACTCTAAATGTATTGACCTACAATCCCTATATTTTAACTTTCATTAGGTGGACACATTCTCGGGAAGGCGGCCTGTGACGACATGTGTCTTAGCGGTGGGTCCTGGTCCTCTTCTACCGGACCTATTGTCAACCCAATGAACCCAACTAAGGACGCAGGGGGCTCCAGTTCTGGATGTGCTTCCCTGGTAGTAATATTATCATGATAGTATTGTCTGCAAAACCACTTTTTAATTCAGCTAAATGGTAGTTTTTATTCCCTGCTTAACTACAGCTTTTAGGGGAATAGCAACAACTGGTTCACCCGTTGTCAGTATAATGCGACCGGACAAAATGCTGTGCTTTGTGCCTTTGGCATGGTAATTCAGTGAGATAGCACTTTACAGTCGGCATCAGATCCGCGCTATCATAAGGAGGCAAGCACACCAACATACACTGTTTATGCATACACACACGCAAGCATGCATACACTACACACATGGAGGGCACGTCCTTAAGTGACCTTAGCTGTTAATAGGACGTTAAACAAAATTAAACAAAATCAAACAGTGCTGAAACATGCTGGCGAAACACAAAATAATCTTGTTTGGTGGATGGTAAGTTAACCAAATGACATAAGTTCGAATCTTATCAACAATGTATCCTTAGCAGAACCGGACCGGGTCGACCGCCGGTGACCAGGGATCGGTAGAGCCTCCGTCTAGAGTTTGGAGGGTCCCGGGTTCGAATCCCGGTCTGGCCGTGCATTTCTCGTTCCCTTGTTACTGTACACAATTGGCGAGCTTATCAACCCTTGTTTCAAGCACTGGGTGAATGCTTGGAAAAGGGATACCAGAACCTGGGTTGTAAATAGTTGTGTCTTCGGGGTCAAATAAGGAGCGAGGAATATACCGGAACTGGACTGGTTCGATCGTCGGCGATCAGGTAGCTCAATTGGTAGAGCGTCCGCCTCGAGTTTGGCGGGTTCCGGATTTGAATTCCGATCTGGAATCTTGCATTTCTCTATCCCTCATTACATATCTGTTCCTGCTAGACATGAAAAATTAGAGGAACGATCCGAGAAATCCTTAACTCTGGGAGTAACCTTACGACAGCTTAGGGATAAGGATAGTGAAAAAAACAACACTTATTGCTGCACGCCCCTCACCATATGCTCACTTGACCGCCATGAAATACACGTTTATTAGTTACTCTTGTTGTAAGTTTTCCTTTAAAATTATAATTATTATTTCATCGCCGTCTTTTTTGTTTTTGTACTTTGTTCAACTTTGGGCCGTGCAATATGTTTTTAACTTTTCCAACTATTCTGCTATAGTATCGCCATTACAAATAATATATGAATATGTATGTATGTAAAATTTACAATATGTTCCTGTTTTTGCACAGGTAGCCCGAGGATTAGTGGACATGGCTATTGGGGCTGACCAGGGAGGATCTATACGTACTCCAGCCAGTTACTGCGGTATCGTGGGGATGAAGCCGACGTATGGCCTGATCCCCTACACCGGGGCTATGAGTGGGGCTGTGACCATCGATCACCTGGGACCCATGACGAAGACAGTGGAAGATTGTGCCTTACTCCTTGAAGTATGGCTTAACAATAAAAGTCATAGTCAACTAATTTTATTTTATTTCCTAGGTTTCCTATAACAATGCGATTTTTTTCTTCGGAAATTCTTCCACTTCCTGTTTCATGGAAATTTCCGCAGAATTTTAATTTTTAAAGAATAGAAGAAAATAAAAGAAAGAAGCGATATAGTGCTCTGGTTATGGATGCTGTAATAAATGTAATATCATCAGCAATCGGATGCTGACTGCCCAAATACTTATTTTAACAGAAGAGTAAATGTTTTTCTGTGTATCACCTTTGTCACCCGTATGGCTATAATAGAAGTAGATGAGTGATAAAGAGTGACGTCATCAAAGTCTATCTTTACTGCAATATTATATACGCATAAACATTTATGTCATCAATCTGTTATTCATTACCATCTATTCAATTTGTCTGGAATTAAGGTAATTCGGGATTATGCATGATAAAGATATTAAATATAAGAGATATTGGGAAACAAACAAAGCCTCCTTAAAATGGTAAAACATTGCAAATACATTAATTTTTAGTAAAGATTGAAAAAAAAACAGTACGACTTTGATACTACAATGACGAAATTTATGATTTTGCAATAAGATAACTACCAATTAGCAAAATAAGTAATATCTTACTCGAATTGACACAAATATCAGTGAATTAGTCGTACATGAACTGTCGGCCAGCACAGACAAACTGTGAATTGTCTCGCGCATTATTCTTTGTCTGGACCATATCCGACAGTAGACACGTTGGACCATATCAATCACAAAGTTGTTACAAATCAGTAAACAACTAATCAAAACGTCTTGTACCTATAATGTCTCTCTTAAGCATCTCCAGAATTGTTAAATTCATGTAGACATAAGAGTTTCACTTAAGACTCATAGTTTTCTGTTTTTGGCAGGCCTTAGCAGGTTTCGATGATGACAAGGACCCCAGACAGCAACCGTTCGACTCGGTACCGCAATATTCTAAACTGGCAAGTACACTTACTCTAAAACTCAATTCCTGTATACCCTGCGTATCTTATTGTTGTTGGCAGAGGTGATTCCTAAAAGAGTTGAATGAAATATCTATATATTACGTTATATGGAAATTATTTTTGAAATTCATTAAAGAAAATGTTCATGTTGCAGTGTTGGAGTGTTGCTATCAAAAGCAAAACTGGATTTTATATACTGTAGGAGAATGACAACCTTTACAAATATATCGTGATGATTTATTCTAATCCAATTTTGTTTTTAAATGAGCTTAATCATTAAACGACATCTCATTTGATCATATTATACATTGTTCTAATTTGCATAGGTTAAACACACAGAACATTAATATTGTTAAGCATTGCTGTTAAGTGTAAGCAGGACGTATCAGGAAGGAGAGTGGGGGTCCTGACGGAGGGGTTCCTGGGGGTAGACGCAGGTGTTAATAAATGCGTACAAGAAAGGTTGCAGAGGCTGACTCAAGCAGGGGTTGTGCTCAAGGATGTATCCATACCTATGCATAGTGTAGGTATGTGTATATTATTTAATTGACTCTATCTACATTCAAATATACGAAAGTTACTGATCTCTTACTTGTTCGCTCATGGTATTTTATTATGTAATCAAGTTAACAAACATTAAATTTATATACCACAACGTTGTAGCAACTCACAAAATGCTAAGCGAAGCAGTTTGCAACTGCTATACTAAACATTGCAACTTCAACTCAGAAGATTGTAATTTGAAATTTTGACAGGAAAACACGATGAAAAATATTAAAATTTTATGAAAATGTATATTTCGGATAATAGCATCGAACGTTTTTTACGAGGTCATCAAACTAGAGAAAGGCATTTTCTGCCAAGGTCAATGCTTTGTAATGTAGAGTTCTGATTGTTGTCAAAACCCCAAGAGACCTTTCCGGTTTGTTACAGGAACTCGGCAGCGTTAGTGTGTTTTACTTCTATTTCAATAAGGCTGATTTGAACTTAATCAATTATTTTTTTTACCGATGTTTAGCGGTCTGGAAACCTCTTTTGATAAGGGAGAACTTTTGTTTATTGTTTTCCCAACATGCTGATGAGTTGTCCATACGTATATCTGGTGATGGTTTTCTCTACATCATTCTGTGGTAGTTTAACTCTTCTCTTCCGCTTTTGTATTTCCAGGAACTGACATTTTTGTACCAATCACGGTAGAAGGATCCCATGCTTGTGGAGCACACGGACACGGTATAAACCTCAACCACACATTAGTATTTCATTTATATTAAAATTCAGTTCCTAATCTAAACACATACATTTGTAATGATTATTTTCTAAAAGAACAAATCAAGGATCATTCATTGAAGGAGTTAAAATTGAAAGAACAAAGTACAGAGAGAGGCCAACTTTTTACAAGCTTAATGTCTTAACATGTGGTTATCGAGTACGGTGCATAAAATTCGATTTCAAAATAATTCTTAAATCATGATTAAGGATGAATTTTACATGTGTAGTAGTTACAACTGTCTGAAGCCATTAGACCGAACAAATATCAGAATAATCGGTTTCAAATGTAAGGCAACGACCCATTCATGCAGCTAATCAAGTTTGACAATCAGCATGAGGTAGAAAACAAACTCGCTATACTTCTACTTCCGGTATACTTCGGTATTCATTCTTCTTCCGGTATATTCCTCGAGTGTGTAAAAGTGCCTTCCGGTATATTCTTCGTATGTTTGAAAGTGAACTTGTTTTGTTTTATTGAACATGTTATTGTTTTATAGGTACTGGTTACCTGTGGAAGGGCTACTATCCAGTCTCGTTACAAGAGGCCATGACCAGGGGGTCCTCACTTAGGCCTTATGACCTCCCAATAAATTTGAAGATGAGGCGAATTCTAGGTGAACACATGCGACGAAACTATCAGAACAAGTTCTACGCCAGGTCACAGAGCCTCGTTCCTGTGTTGAAGAAAGCTTATGACGACGCTCTCAAGGACGTCGATGTCCTCATTATGCCAACTCTTTCAAAAACGGCCGGGAACCTGCCAACTGCTAAAAGTACAGCTAAAGGTAACACTTACTTTATGGTTAAGCTATATACCTCCAAAATATATTGCACAATTAACCTTAGCAATTATTCTATACGTCATACCCTATACAGTGTTGTTTTTATTGCAAATAACATAAAAATGTAAATATCTACCAACCCGTGAATCAATACTGAAAATTTCTTATATTTCATGTGCCTTTATTTTCGCATTAAATCGTATTAACATCGATCGAAAATATACGGTATATCATGCAAAGTTTTTATTTAAACATAAATTAACGGAAGACACATACGAGAGGGAAACATGACTTAATGTTCCCTTGATTAAGTACAGAAAGGTCAGCACACAACAGCAAGTTTCCGTTCAAAATAATTGATCTAATGTATACTCGTCTTTTAATGTTAATTATACATGTACATCATGTTATAAAGAAAGATAGATATCATAGAGCAGAACTCTTGCATATAACGACATTCATGTTTTTAGAGAGACTGGAGGCGTGTATGGAAATATCTAATAATCTTGCCTCCTTCGACGCCACTGGTCATCCTGCGCTCTCCCTAAACGCTGGTGTCTCTGACCAAGATGGACTTCCCGTAGGAATACAGATTGTCGGCCGACTTAACGACGACCTTGGTGTACTTCAAATGGCCTATGCAATCGAACGAAATTAGAATAGCATTTGCTATTTCGATAATCTGTATTTTTGTTTACCTAAATTAGCTAAAATTGATAGAATTATTCATTTAAATGTAACTTGTGTTGAAGTAATGTTAAAACTTGAAACATACATGACTATACAGAAGTTCGAAAATGCTACGGTATGGTTTAGTTGTATTGAAAGAAGTACCTTTGATATCAAACCCAAAATATGTGCAAATAGGTCACTGGTTGGCTACACTTTAGTGCCATTATACTATGAAGTGGTATACAGCAGGCCAATTATTGTCCTGGAATCTGAAAAAGATGCGTAAATAGGGAACCTATTCTTTATTACCTGTCTTTTTTTTATAAAAAGTTAAGGAAATAATATAAATCCTTATGTGCGTTTTCCATTTTTTTTATTCTTATTATTATTAAGTGAAAGTAATGCCAATTGGGCAGATAAGTTGGAGTGTCTGATCGAAATTTTATTAACTCCTGTATTGGTTTTAGAGGGCACGATAGTCTAGTGGTAGGACGCCGGGCTCGTTACCGAAGGGTTACGGGTTCGAGTCACGACACGGCACTGTGTTGTATCTTTGAGCAAGATACTTTACTCCGCTTGTTCCAGTCTATTCAGCTGTAAATGAGTACGTGGTTGGGCAGAGCTAGAATTGTACAATGCTAGCTGTGAGCCCCGAAATGTCAACACCGGCTGTATGCTCCCCAGGGAGTTGAGAAAGATATTGGCTGGTTGCAATAGCCCTATAACCACGGATAATAAATTGTGAACCGCCTTGAGACGATCTACGAACTAGGTTGTGATAAAGCGGTATATAAGAACCTCGAATTAGTATTATTATTTTATGTTGATGCGAAAATAAGTTAACATTTTCACAAAATATGTATGTACAAACGACAAACTAATGGCTTTGTTTTAGCTTCTCCTGTACTTTTCGAAAACCAATAAATAAGTAAAAAAACTTGTTTTAAGATTACTGTTGTAGCACAGCGAATAACAATCTTGTGACCATAATATTACGTTGCTTGTAATGTAAAAGGGTAAGCTTAAAATAAGTACAAATTCGTTCTGTAGCCATCTTCTTACTGAAGGCTGGCCGACAGCGTAGCTATAACAATGTTGGGATTGGTGAGGAGTTCGTGAGATCGTCTTTAACGCTTTAGAAATTTGGGGAAGATTTTGGAACTTCCACAATGGTCATCGCGTTCGACTACTGGTTCAACATATATGGTGAACCGGCTCGGCATTACGACATGTCAAGGAGATATAATTACGTGCATGGTATGAGTTTCTACGTGCTTTAATTGTGATGTAATTGTCCGAGTAACCGTGTTACGAACGAGATACATAAGTGGGAGGTCAGACTGGCCATTTGTGTAAAAGGTCATATAGTGTGGCTATAACTTGTTTGTACGTTGAGGTAGAACTATTTGGTAATGCATACAACTAATATTTTGTCCTGTAAGGTTGTAAATGCACAAAAGGAAGACTAGCTATAAATGCATACACATTTTCTTCATAACAGTAACCTTCACGGAAATATACGCGAATGTTGTAGGGGATACGCGTACGGTGCACATGATGTTTATTTTTCAAAATTTGTTCTGCAAGATACAATGCACCTCATAAACATGAATTGTGTATTGTGAACTCTAATTGCGACCTCAATAAATCCTGACACTATGGTTTAACAAATGCCATAGAAAAAGCAAATATCATTTGTATCACAATGGCACTGGCCTTGCAATGCTACAGGGACTACTACAAATACATGGTACTAACTTATACATTGCCCCGATATATAATTTGGTACCTTGTACTTATTCTTTTCCCTGTAGCAGTACAGGTCCAGTGTTAATGTGATACAAATGGCAATTCAACAGTACAATGTAATGAAACAGAGGGAGCGTAGCAATGAAGGCAAATGCGCGATTCCTCCCTTTTCCTACTGGAAGTAAAAGACGTCCACCACATCTGTGTGTAGAATTTATATGTTTATGTTGGGTATAACGGTCTCCCAAAAGAAAAGGCCATATGAAGACTGGTTGTGAAGGCATAGCTGCAATTAATACTAGTTAGTATATACCAGTGTTCTCGGGTACGACGTACACTGTATTTGTAAAACTATGTTCATGTTGAAACCCTCTTCAGTACTCAAAGTCATATCCTAGCTCAAGTTGGAAAACACTTTTTTAATCAACAGGTTATTTTTAAGCAAGTAACTTTCACCAATGTTATTGTTTTACGCTTTGAACTCATTGAAAGGCCTCTGTGATGGACAAGAAAGTTTGAGCGCGAAGACAGGTTCGTGAATACGACGTGTTATGATTTGTTTGCCACTTGTGCTATATTTTTCTGCTTAAAGTAACTTAACAAAGAATTCAGAATGCACCAGATTTAATCATTACTAAAGATGAAGAAACATTAATAAGCAAATGACAATTATGTACAATCAATCACTTCTTCTCACAGCTGATCAATATATATATACAATATTTAGTAGCTTGGATAAGTACGTTCATCAAGTCAAAAGTTATCACCAGAAAAATGAGCTTACTTGTAATGTAACTGACATCACCGTGATTAAAACACATATATATTAAAACTAAATGCTATAGAGTATAGTAAATAATTAAACAGTTAACAGATGGCTTAACGCTTACATTATTTCCGAAAACCCTACAAAATAAATAGCTTTCCTGCCCACCGGCATCTTAACGATACAGGTTAGAAGTCAATAATTTATAACATGTTCTACTATTGTGTACACTCTTCTTGTGACACTATCTTATTCAAGGTCCGTCAAAGTTATAATAATTCCAGTTTTTTACACAATCATTAAATGATTAAATATAACCACACAAACCGGAGGTGATCCGCAGTCAAACTCAACAACATCAAAGGGCATGTTTGCCAAATGAAAAGTGTGACATAAATTACAGGTATCACACATGAAATGTGGATGACACATGTAAATTTTCTAAGGCATGTGATATAAAGAATATTATATACCTCAACCTAATGGCATTTGTCTCGAAAAACATAAAATTAATATACAATGTTGAGTACACTGTAACAGCACGACGCAAGGCTTTTACAATGAATATATTAAAAAAAAACATTATTTGTATGTTCTAATAAACTTTATATGGACTTAATATTTAATCGGTCAAACTTTGTTATAATATATCAATTACAATCAACAGTGAATAATAACTTAATTCACAAAGGGCAAATTTGAATGTGCACGTGCTATATTCAGCTGCTACGAACAATAATCATTCCAATTAAATTTCCAGCCGATAGCATGCCACTATATCAAAATCGATAGTCGTGTTTCGCATAACTTTCTTGAAGTAATTTTGACTCTCTAGCGTTAATACATTTCTATCTTATCTTTCGAAGTTGCCTCCCTTATTGTGATGGCTCAACAGACAATAGTGTCAAGAAGCTTGACGAAGAAAAAGGAAGAAATGCTTATAATAGCATAGAGCTCTATGCAAACAGGAAGTACATCTACAATAACCTGAAATCTCGTCTCTTATGAACCGAAATACTACAATCCATGCTCGAAAAATACATGTGTTATATCATTTCATTAATAACAAGCTTAAATGTATAACAGAAAAGTTATTGTTATTAAACTACGGGAACGTTGTCTCTTCACGTTGAGTTATCTTTCTTATACTGAGTCCCTGGCTTGTTTAATGACAGTTTACTGTCGAGATATATGAAAGTAAATCGTGTTGTGATTGTCAAATCTAAATGAAACTGTGAACTTATGTTAAATATGTATTGATCTAAAAAAAATAACAAATAACAAATAACAAAACTATTTATCTACATAAAAAAGAAAATGAAACAAAAATAAAAATGAAAAACATGGCCTTAGTTGAAAAGTGTCAGCTACTTATAAAGTTATTCAAGAATTAATATATATATATAATGTATATCACTTTTTGTGAATTCCGGAGGTGATTGGTAGTTGACGGATCCCTAAAACATCAAATCTTCCATTTTGTCATTCTGTAAAACAATTAATCAACATTCTTCAATATTACAATACATTCTTTAAATATATAGAATTACATGTCATTACTTCGACAAAATACGTTAGTGATTAAGCTTTTCATTTTATACATTATCTCTTTTTGTAAAATGCAATGTTCCGTCCTTTTGGAAGAAAAACTTAAAAATAATTTTAAAAAACCAGAAGTTAACACAGATCAATTACTCTACTTACGGTGCTTGCATGGGGCGCATAAATCTGTAAGAAAAAAATCAACAAGTTCTACACATCTTCTTGAATGTTTAATGCTTATTAGGTTATTCTTAACAGTTTCAACAAATTTAAATTGTGTATAGTATATCATTCTATGCAATATATATTCGTTAGTTGGAACAATTTGGGTTGGTACCAGCTAATTAAGATTATCCTTACGCGCTTCAGCGTCCTTGATCTCGTTGCACACTGTTCTCCGAATTATATCTAATTGAATATTTGATTTTAACAAAGAAATATAATGTAATTCTACTTACGGATTTTTGGATGGCATGGATCTTCTGAAAATCAACATATTTAGTAGTATAAATAAAGAGATTACGACGGGTTGAGGATGTATTCAAATAGGACATCGTCAGTAATGATTGATATCAGTATATCAATTTTTAACGGCTTAATTATTGATTGCCTCTGATATTTGGTTTAACGATGACTTTGGTAATAATGAGTATTGCGATGATTGTTAATCACACGGATATTGACATATCGAGGGATTTATCAAATATTGTTATATTTATCAATTATAGAATATTTCTCTCCTCTTTTTTATTATATATTTTAATATCGTTGTATCTGTCGTAATATGATACAAGAAAATAGGAGCTTGATTTACCTGTCAGCTTGACATCTGTCTGAGTGTTCCTGATTCAGGTTTCTGCGGCAGTTATCACATTTGTCGACCCTATTATTTGAGGTTTTGAGGGTAAGATTGTCTTTTTTCATTTCTTCAAACATTGCAGAATAATCTTTTTTTGCCTGTGCTAAATCATCCTGCAATTTATCTCTCTCTTCTTCCAACAGATCAATTTTTTTCCAAGCATTTGTGACGTCGTCATTCACTTTTGCACGTTCCTGTTGTAATGTGTTCTCCAATGTTCTAATTTTGGATTCCAGCTGTTTTATTTTGGTCTCGCATTCTTTGTGATTATTATCTTTTTGCTTAATTTTAGAAATTTGTTTTTTCATGTCCTCTTGCTTCTTTGATATCTGCGTATAATGTTTTGTCATCTCTAACGTTTGCTTTTCAAGTTGCTCCTTTAATACCTGCTCCTGTTTTTCTGCCATCTTTAACTGGTGCTTTTCCATTTGCATCAATAATGTCTGCATCTGTTCTTCTGTGAACTGTGACTGATTCTTTTCAATACGCTTCATGGCTCTCTGAACCAGTTTTTCCTCCATTTCTGATCGTTGCATTGCACTTTCAGAAAATGTTTCTTTTTCTTGTTGAAGAGTGTCAGAATGGTCCCGATATGTTACCTGGTTAGGTCCATAAAT